TCCTAGTTCTTTCTTTTTCTTTCTCAGCTACGGTTATTACTTCTCTTTGTAAAATCAATTTCCATAGCATACTCAATATTGACTTCATACTCCAAAGTAAACTGAGCCCATTGATCTAACAGTTACCCACTTCATTACAAAACAGCTTATTACCAGTTGCTTCATTCAGATGTTTATAGTATTAACACAGTCCCTGAATTTAAAGGCTTTTACTCTGAAGGAAATGATAGTCATGATCATTAAATAATGATATTTTATTCTACAAAAAGCCCAAGTCTGTTACATCACCCACCATCTGTATTCAAAAACTGGCAAAGAAAAAGGAAAGAAACATAGAAATAATGCTAAATATCTAACCAAAGTACTGCATAACCCTCTGAAAAATAGCAAAGCAAGTTTTCAACAATATAATTTAACTTCAGATAGTTAAAAGATTAAATAGTATATTAAAAAATACCTCAAGACAGAAACATTAAAAAATTCATTTTTCAAAAGTCATTTTAACATTAAAATATTTTGGCATTTTAACTACTATAAAATTGAAAGAGAAATGCTCAAAATGCTAAATGAATTAATATGCCTCTTGAAATTGTTGACATTAATTCTAAACTGTACACATACTCACTTGTTTAAACTTCCACATGTCAAAAGTTGTAGTCACATAATCTGCTATTCCCTTGTAGAGATCTATATTAAAGTATCGGAGGTCTTTGCAGGACTGCAGTATGTTGATCAATATTTTAAAAGGACACCCATGGATATTATCTTTAAGGAGTTAAATAAACAAACATATTTAGCATGTAAGATTCAAGATGTGCAATACTTTTGCTTCTTAAGGAAAAAAAACACTTTTTTTTTCTTTAAAAGCAACAGGCAAAAATGAAATTTAGATGTATCCTACAGTCAGATTTTCTTCAAATAAAAGCAACATTTTTAAAACAAACAAAACAAATATAATCCAAAAGAGCGGATCACCTGTTACAAACTATAAAAGAAAAACTCCTCTTACCTATGAATGTTTTACTGCATTCATTCAGGAGAACAGCAGAATGGTGATTCATGGCAGCTAGCACCTCGAACATACGCTGGCTATTCAGAACAGAAAATTTGTCTAATTCCCTCAAAGCTTTCATCTAAAGAAAAACAAACTTAAATGGAACTTGTCATCTGTGGCAAAATTAAATGAAACTTCTATTTTTTTAAATAAAAAGGATGAAGATTAAGAAAAACGACTCAGATAAGTAAACACAAATATTTGTATGTACAAATAAATATAAACCCAATCCTGTCCATTTGCTTCAGCAAAACAAACACATTAGCAATGTCTTCCAAAAAAACTGATTTCATGAGATGATAGCAAGTCACAAAAAATAATTTTTTCAAATCTTACCCACTGGAGAAAATTCAGGTGTTTACCTCTAGTTTCCTTTTAAGAGCATGTGGTGCATCTTTTCCAATACATTTCATCACAGTTTGCAAGGTGAAGACACGTTCTATCTTCCAAACTTGCTGATCAACTAGTAATCTGTCATCAAACACAGTGTTACAATGTTAGAATCTTAAAGAAAATCTTAAAAAATAAGTCTTTTTAAAAAACTTGTTTATTTATATTCAATCTTGGTCCAGCTCCTACTTCTTATAAGAAGGAATATGGGGAACCAGCAGTTGGTGTAATGGCTATGTCGCTGGGCTCCCACGTAGTCAACCACGGTTCGCATCCCGGACCC